CGATTTATACTGTGCGAGAGCGTTCTTCTTTTAAAAACAAAAGAAAATGTCAAAGTTAATCCAATATTACATTGTTGACGAATAAATTTTGATATTTTTTCGGAAACTTTTGCATCTCTTACTAACTTAAAGAAAAAAATATCTATCAGCAGAAATTAGACAAATTCATTCTTAATTCATTAAAGTGTGATTCGATTATCATAACTACCATTTTGTGGAACTCATGTATATTTTCGAAGAAAATAGTGAGTGTAAGTTTTAAGTTCAAGGTTTCGCGCCCCGCCCCGCCCCCGTGAGAGAGCGTGTGAAGGAAAAAAGAATGGACGAAGAGATGCATCTCACTTAAGAGGACCCCNCCCTCCCCCCTTACAGACCATAGCAACGAAAGAGAACAGTACATATAGATCCATCGCCCTTACAGACACCCCCCATTACAGACTTAAGCAATCGACAATAAAAGGTGTAAGATTTTCTATAGTTTTTTTTTGGAAAATTGATCAAGTTATAATTTTGAAAAATGATGAATATCATTATTTGTGACTTAAGGCCCCCCCCTCCCCTAAAAAGTCAATTTTCGTCAAATTTGTCGATTTTTTGATTTATAGCGCGTTTGATAGAGCAAAGTGTCCGCTATCGAACGCACTATAGTTTATGTATTTTATGATGAGTTTTCAGGATGTTACATCAGTTTTTCTCAAACCCCCTATTCTAGAAAAAAAACATCTTTTTAACGAGTTTTTGATCTTCGAAGTCTTTTGAGCTTCCCTGTTGATTGTTTACAGTGATTTCTATGGTTAACATGTATCGCTAAGTATAATAGCTTGATACATAGTACGAGTGGCGAATATCTAGAAACGATAGAAGAGAATGAAGGTACTTGTTAGGGTCCTTGCCCACCTTTACTTTTATTACACAACCACAACTGTTAGTAAACAAACATATATATGTATATATCTTAGAGAAGGAGGAACGAGAACAAAGTGAAGGATCGTCCATCTATATCATAGATGGCGATCCTGACAGTACTGACCATTCATTTGTAAGTCAATTTTTATTGGGAGAATAAGTACCAAGGACTTTTCAGTGCTTTTTCATGAATGTAAAAATGTATATATTGTTAAAAACAACAAAGTTGTAAATAAAACTTCTTATTTGGAACTGTTTTACTATGTTTGTAGATTAAAATCAGTTGTTAATTGTATTTTCAGCAGTAGGTGATAACTATTTTTCATTATACCATAACTTATATATTATCATCGAAGTAAAAGTTTCAATGGGTAAAAGAAATAATTCTTACAAAAAGAAAAGTAAAAAATCAATTATGAAACGAATTCGTTCAGACAATCTGAAGAGGCAGCGAGATTATGTATCATTCATCGGTTTTAGATAATTTTCAACTACTATTATTACATGATATAAAATCATTCATATAAATGCAGATGATTTGATTTCTATCATACCAAGCAGTTTTTATTGATTTGGCAGTTGACATGAAATATTGGAGTAACTAGGATTTTTCGATATACTGGATCTCGGCTTTAGAATATGGGATCCAAATGAAATTTATAGTCGGTTGATGCAAAAATTATTTGATAGAAAATCATTATTTTGAGAAAAATATCAACTGACTATCAATTTCATTTGGATCTCATAGTCTAAAGCTCAGACTCAGTATATCAAAAAATCCTGGTTACGCCACTAGACATGACATAACCATATAGAAGAAAAAAAAATTTCCAGACGCCTCTGCATACGTCCACTTAGTTCCTTCTAATCAATGATCGATGGAAAATCACTAAAAAGTTTATTTCACACCATGTTATTGTAGAAAAAGTCTTGAAATTTACTTCTAAAACGTCTTTTGCGTTTTTCTCAAAATAAGATTTTTTGTAACACTTTTGTATTTTCCAAATTTCTCCGCCATTTTAAACGCTAGAAAGTTTCGCTTGGTGTCAAAATGATGTAAATGATCGGCTCTAGAACTTAACAGAGCCAGAATCTTAGATTTTATGTTTAACATCTCATGAGACTCAAATCTTTTACAATGTATACCCTATTTTTTTCCATATCGTATGAGATAAGCTTCAATAAAAAAAGTTGCAGATGAAAAAAACAATCGGGCTCTGTTAAGTTGTAGCGCTATGTTTTTGATATCTTTTCAAAGTAAGCCAAATTTTCTAGCATTTGAAATGACTGAGAAATTTGGGAAACGCGGACACCCCTATTTCCACCCATAATCGTGAGGTAAATCTTGATAGACTCAATATTTCGAACTGAAATTTTTATGGTAAGATACCTAGCAGTAGGTACACCTTCGCTGAAAATTTCAGCAAGATCGGATGATCAGAAGCAAAAATAGAAATTAAGGTGGGGAGGGGCCTTAATAAGTTCGATCGTAATTGGCTATATAATACAAACTTGTGTCTCTTCAAAATCTGATGGGTATGACAACAGTTGATCCCCAGGTAAAAGAGACTCCCCTCAGACATTTAAGCTTTTCCTATGCAGTTCTGACCAAAATAAATAGTAAGCCACATGTACATGGTTCACTGAGATTCAATAACATACTAATCATATAACGATATATATAGATAATCAATTACTCTCCTCGGTCAGTACATAAGAAACTATTTTAAAATTAAAAAAATAATTTTCAGTGTTTACTTAGTTATTCACCGAACGAATCATACATATATTGAAACAAAGAAAACGTGGCCAATCATTCTGCATGTATCTCCTAACCATAAATGTCGAACATTTCCATAGTAGGAGATGAGGACGAAGTAGATAATGGATGATGACATAGTATTTACGTTGCTGCCTGAAGAACCACAATGGTAAAATTTTAGACACAATGCTGTCTAAAATTACTTGTTTCAGATATGATTCGATTATTTCAACTTAACTGCTCATCACGTAATAGACCGCATTCGCAACGATAAATAAATGTAAAAAAATCTTATGTGATCAATTATTCCGTCAAGTCTCAGTCGAAATTTTCCCAAGGAGTACAAAAAAGAAATTTCAAAATCATAAATATCCATATTTGATTATGCGACCAATCAAATTTAACGAAACGAAAAGTGATCCGCTGTTGCTATCATGACGCTTTCACAATCGATTATTACTTTGCATTATTTTGACCAAACAAGTAGTTGCACAAGCATTAAAAACTTGCAACACAACCCATGTAACTTTCAAATGCAGTGGAAATGCGTCTGGACGCATTTCAATATCAAACAAAAACTGATTCTCTTGTCGAATAATTAACAAAAGAGTTGCCCTTGGTGTAACACTTTTGATTGTTTTTTATGAGATTTCAAACATAGGTCTGTGAATTGATCTATTTGTCAAGACTTCGAGTTGGGTAAGGTTAGTTGTATATGACTAAATCATCTATTGACAAGTATTTTTCACAACATCATAATTCCTCTTTTCATGTAAAATGACATATAGTTTTAGAAATAGCTATATTATAATGATCTCAATAATATAGTTATTTTATAAAAAAGAATTGTTTTTAGTATTCCAGATATAATTTTTTGTGCGCCACAAATTCATGGTTTTTTCAATCAGTTATTTGTTTTTGTTCAAAATTATTTGTGTTTAAAGGAACAGTAATCCTGCGAAGTGATCAGAGTACAATAAGATTAAATTATTTGAGAATGAGTTTAAAAAAGTTGCGTAAATAAAAGTAATGATTTCTCTTCCTTTAACGGAGTTCATTGAAAATTAAAATAAATTAAGTATTTTATAAATAGTGAATTATGAAACGCGTTCAGATGCATCTTGTAAATGCGTTTAGACGTATGAAATTTTCACATGGGAAAACAGTAGTTGGACTCGTTTTCTATCTTTGTCAGCGTTCTGCGTCTGGATAAAACGATGAGAAGTGCTAGTATACACGTAAAAACATTGTCCTTTGCTATTTACATGTATTTTTGAACAAATGTAATCGCCGATACATGCGATTCGGTAGAGGATCAAAAGTAATGATGACGTGTCGTGTGATTTGTGCAGTCAACAGAATATTTCAAACCATGAATGTCGATTTCCTCTCATAGCATGTGAGCATTGGTCTTCAAAGTATTTATCTAAAAGAGATGTTCTCTCGCATGTTTCATTCAGATCCTACTCAGTATATGAAAGAAAGTTTTTCGAAAAAGTACTTTCATAATAGAACAGCTGGCAACAATATTATCGAATGTCTGTTGATATATTAAAATCGTCAATTTTCATAGATGATAACATCGTCGAAGACTGATTTACAATTAATTTTATGGTTTCATGTGATGTGTTCCCTTTTTTTAATCACAAGTAAATTTGTCCGAAGTTTGACTGTTATTAAGACAGATATCTATGACGAATTTTTTTCATCTTCTTAGTTACACTTTTCTTCTATTTCTATTATTCCGCATGTTTTCGTGCTTATTGTCAAATGCAGAGCCTTGAAAGTGTTAACATGATCAAAAAGAAATCGTAAAAAATGTATGAGAATTGTTGGAAAGCAAGAGCTAGGATATAAAAATAAACATTGTTCTGTAGTTCATCTGTTCAAAACACCATCCTTTAATTACACCGCCCATAAAGTGCAATGTGTATTTGTCCTTTTGGTATAATAACATTCCATATTTCTAAGTTATTTTCTTCAAGAGTTCTTCCACTTTCTACAATAGCATCAGCTAGTAAATATAGATCCGTATTCACTAAATATCCTTCCGATGATCCTGTAACTCTATCTAAGTGGTATGTGGAGGGATTTATATTGATTTGTTCAAAAAATCTTGTCACATGACTAACATGTTCAGCAGCAATTAATGGTTTATTTTGGTGTGTCCATTTTTCTGGTTCTATACACGCACCTTTGCGACATAATAGAGCAAGACAAATGTTTGGATCAGCAGCTTCATGAAGAACGGTGTATACTGTTGGATAATTTTTAACTACTGTTTCAAACGTAATAAGATGTGTAACGCGTTTTGATGCTAATAACCATGGCATATCTTTTGGTTTACTTGGAAAAAGTGATAATTTAACATTTTCATCGTGATCGAAATATTTACAAAATTTATTTCGATCGGCAATATCTCCTTTAATGCATAGGCTTCTACCTGATTGTCGAATTATTTTAATTCCCAATTGTTCTTCAGCAAATCGATCTGTTTTATCAGTATATTTCGATGTAGTTATTGCAATGATAATTTCTTTAGATTTTTTATCGGATATTTCATTTTGTTTACTACATATTTTAGGTGCCCATCGTCGTGCATTCAATTCATTAAAAATATCTTCCATTGTTACACCAATTCCATTCAGATACATAACAAGATGAACAAATAAATCACTACATTCAGAAACTTGATAATCTTGATGACTCGCTATCACTTCCCAAAATTCTTCCATGACTTTAGCAAGAGCTAATTGTGGATTTCTTTGCATTATGCCTGTATAACTATCATCGTTTATTTTCGATTTAATATGTTCAGCCAATGTAGCTAAATTTGCTTTGATACTTGTTTGTATACAAAAACAACTATGATTACCTAAAGCAAAAGAAAATAGTAACTTTTATAATCAATACAAGAAAAATTCTTACCTGTATGGCAAAATGGTTTTTTTGAATCAACTGTTATTAACATGGCATCTGAATCACAATCTAAACTAATTTGAATAATATGTTGAACATCACCAGATGTTTCACCTTTCATTATAACTCTCCCTAATTTTCTCGAATATCTATATAGTTTTCTATGTTGACACGTTTGTTCAATTGATTCACGATTCATATAGCATAAACCTTTGACTGGTCCATTCACATCTTGAATGATAGCTGATACCGTTCCATTATTATTAAAATTGATCATACTATTGAATATACTACCAATGGTTAATTTGTTTTTCCAAATTGCAGATCCAAGTTGTGGAACAACACGATCAAATGACCATAGATATTCTAAATCATCCAATGTACTTATTCCACCAGCAATATAGATTCTCTTAATATTTTGAGGTATTTGTATAAGAAGGTCTCGAATTTGTTGCCGAGGTATTCCTGATAAGTGTCCTTCGCTTTGAACAAATGTTATACTAATAACATTGACACCGATCTGAATCAGTTGATTGATTTTTGTAATTATATTCACATGAGTATTTGTTTGACGACCATGAATAAGTACTTCATTTTGTTCATTAGTACTTATTTCGACAACTAAACGTTCTTTGGGTATCTTCGTAATCAATACATCATCAGCACTAGCCACAACACATCGACGAACGCTTGATTTGAGCATATCTTCAACATCAGTTAATGATCTTAAACCACCTCCCATATAAATATGATGTTTCTGCGCTAATTTTTTGATGATCTGTCGATTTTTTGTATCTGTTTCACCAAAAGCACCGTTTAAATCAACAATTAATATGTCCGGAAAAATACTAAGTTTTTCCATAGCTTGCCCATATTCACCATCACTATGAACTTCACATACTTGTGAACTTTTAACTAAAACTGGTTGTCCATTAAACATATCCATTGTCACAAGAACAGATCTAGGATTTTTACCCCGTATCGTCAGCCATAATTCTTGTAAATTAGTTGGAATTCTTAACTGTGTATTCTTTAATAATTTTTCAATCTCGTCTGTATAAAAGTAAGAATTATAGGTTAAAAGTTCTGTTTGATGAAATTTATTTTTCATAAAATATTCAATAAGTATTCTATTAAAAGCATTCCATTTCTGTAAGATTTGTTCTCGTGATGCTGATCCACCTGCTCGCCATATGTCTTTATCAAATTTATTTTGATTACTATCTATGGCTGTTATTCGCATACAATCTTGATTGACTTCACTCCAAAACTTTTCACCATTTTTATCAACCATAAAACAGACATCTTTTATCAATAAATTTACTTGAGAAAAATATGATTGAATAATCATAAACATTTTTAATGCAGATAATTTTGTTTGTTTAACATCAATCAAATGAGTTACGAGATCTTCAGTGATATTTTTATCACCAAACTACAATAGAAAAGATCGAATGCATTATTTGATAGTCTACAGATTTTCTTACTGGTATAGCATATGATTTATTAGCTAAGATTTTGTTAAAAAACTCTTCTTTACCAATAGCTTGTTCATATATATAATAATATGGATTTTCATTCAAGGATTTTCTTGTCTTTGGTGATATATGATTTGGATTTCTCCAATCCAATCTAACATAGGGACCACATAAATATTCTCCGTTGCTATTGGGTAAAACAATATTTTCATTTTCTAAAATATCATAATATGAATTTTTATCAGTTCCTTGACAATATCGTTTAACAATAACTTCTATTGGACTGATTTCATCGATAAAATCGCTGACTATGATACCATTGGAATTAATCGAGCGATAAGAATGTTTCAAACCATTACGCCACATCATTTCCAAAATCAATTGAGAACCACAGGCACGAATTGAACCTGAAATGTTTCAACGGATACTTTTCCTAAATGAATTAATCGATTTTGTTCTTAGAGAATGTTATCTGTGACTTTTTTAAAGGAACTTTTTGCGAGCTTTCACATAAATTTATATGCTGAGCCTATGCCTATGTGTTTTTTTTGCAAACTGCTCTTGCAGACAATTTTCGGTAAGATTTGAGTCTTATCTTGTCATATTTGTTTTTCCGCTGTAATATATACAGTTATTAAAAACAAGAATTCATAAGAAACTTGTATTCAAACCCTATATATATCAAAATCAAATTTGTTCACGTTCTCTGAAAGTTAAATATATTAAGCAGAAAGTCTTACCTAAATTTTTAATTTCTCCTGTGACTTGCATTGAATGTGAATAAATGGTGGATTTTAAGATAATAAAAGCTAGGTTTTTTGTAAATGGATTACCACTAATATCTTTATAAACTTTTTTCGATTCACCTTCAGTAACAAGTCTAAGTATTGTTCCTGTTATTGGTAATTCATATTCTCCAATTTGAAGAATTTTCTTTTGCTGATCGATTTCTAATGAATTATTGTTGATATACCATCTTATGTATAATTTTCGTTTATCAATATTATCAAATTCTTGTCCATATTCAGGTAAATTTGTTATTTTGTCAATATCATAGGTTTTTATCGTTTTATAAAGCTTATTTTCAAGATCACATTCTTGAATTTGATTATCGTGTTTCTCAAATATCTCTTGTAGGTCGTGATTGTATTCGTTTTAGAATTGTATCAGTTTCACAATCTAAGATAATCCAATAAATTGATTCTTGATTTATTGTTTGATCTGGTAATATGATGTTATTGAAATCTTCTGCATCAAAAGTGTATTCGAATGTCAATTTATCGACAATATTTGGATCGATTCGATATTTTACAGCTAATCCATTACTACGTTCAATGGCAACAATAGTACTGTTATTAGCATCTTTTTTCGAATTTATCATTTCACAAATACTCGATATACCACAACCATGATTACCCAATAAACAAATTATATCCTGTTGGCCATTTTCAATTATGTTTTCTGACTAATTATGAAGGTATCACGTTCAAAATTATTCTTTTGAATTACTTTTTACTGCAAATAAAATGAAAGAAGTAATCAAGCAATAATGCAATAATATCCAGAAACGATACAGATAAGAGCTATACTAAAGAAAACCTCTCTGACAGCCACGTATTGACTTTTCTCAACCTCATAATCATGTTTCAATTTAATCTGACAGAGGAAAACCTGCTCAAGTTTTCAAATAATTATCAGAATTTTTCTTTTCAGACATGATGATATCTTTGTCGTTGAATTTTTGTTAGATTGAAGCTAATTCTATCTAAAGTTCGTGGATGCTCATAAAGTTATATTCAAGCTAAACGGCATTTACACTAGTATAATGGCAAATGCTTACCTTCAAGAGCACCTCTAAATAGAAAAAGAATAGTGAAAGAAATTATAAGACAGAAACACACATTTTTTATAGTTTTTTCACAAATAATCAATCAACCGGAAAGAACAAAAAACATAACAAAATCGCCTACTCAAGTATCGTGTTTTGAGAATAGCTAATTGTGAATGTGCTTCGAAATAAATCATGTTCATTGCAGAAATCAGCATTTTTATCTATTGAGATGTTAATTGTACAAATCTGCGCGATCCCTTAGAAAAGAGAAAATCCAATATATATGATACTTTTGGACTTAATATGTAAATACTGAAAGTCCATGTTAAAACGATCTGAATAGAAAATATCAAGATATCTAATGAAATAACTGGTGCTTCAAACTCGTTTTTTTAATGAATCTATTAAAAACTGAACAAATTATTCTATTTTAATATCAACATGAGTTAATAAGTCAAAATATGTGGAAACTTGAGCTTTTTTCAATTATGTCAACATACTTGCACATTCGGTCAAGTAGCAAGATCAACGGAATATATTGGGTTTTTAAAAAAATGCTTCTGTATTTTTGTATATATTCTTCAATGATGCAATATTGATAGTCAGCTAGTTCAACAAATATCTACAATACCACACTATAATTTCAAATGACTCTTCAGTGAAAAATGATTCAGTTATATTTTAAGATGTGACACATAATAACAGCGATTATTTTCGAGAGAAATCAATTGTAAAAATCATCGTATACCAAAAAGACATACAAGGCTTGATCATTCTTGAATGAACAAATCGAGAGAACTTTTCTTACAGCGTAAGCACCGTTTTTTTTTCTTGCTCTTCTTCTTACAACATATATTGAATATTGATTAAAGATGAAAAACTGATGACGCATTCTTCTATCGAAACGAAAATTATCAATTATCGATAGAGACAGCGGCATAAAACAAGAAAAAGAACATAGCTGCTCTCCTCATTTAATGTTGCTCATAAGACAATACCGACTTAAAGAAATCTAAAAAAAAAGAAAAACATAATCATATTACAAACAACAGTCTTCGTGACATAATCGTTCTCATCAACAAAAATCTAAAAGTTCTCATAACTATTTCGTCACAGTATGCTATTGCAACAGAGTTTCAACTATAAGGAAGAAATATTCTATGCCTTTTCAAGTTTATTTTTCGACTTCACTTTCAACATACACAACAAAGGGAAGCTAACAAGTCGCATAGCTCTTGAAATGATTGTTCTTCTATGTACATTGTTTCTCGTTCTTGTGATTTCAAATAGATCTGCTGCGTACGAAAGATTGACATAGAATGTATTTTCCTATAGTGAAATCAAAGCGAAGTCACATCAAACTGTCTCATTCAATTGAACATCGAATCGAATTGAACTCAAACGAATGTGTCTGACATAGAATACACTTCTTCCATCAGACTTTCATTTCAAAATACGTTTTTTCAACACATCAGCAATAGAGACATTCTGATTTTTGTCGTCATAGACAACAACAGATGAATGCAGCTGTCTTAGTGTATCACCCAGTGGATAGTCTTCAGCGATTCTGGCACATTCTTTTTTCCATCATGCGTTACGCGGAATAATAGAAAGAGTCGCAAAAATAGAATGAAATGATGATGTTACCAACATTTATTCTATAAGTATCCCCGGAAACTCTATTAAGCTCGTGTAAAGGAAATATAGAAAAAATAGGAGTTAGAGGTGTGGGTTAAGAAAAGAACTACACCCACACCAACACCCATACCCATATCCATACCACACCCACCCATACCTACACCCACACTCTATTGAATATGCTAAGTCAAATCGAAGTACATGTCATGGTTGTTACCAAAAAATTGAAAAAAATCTTGTTCGTTTATCAAGAAAAGTTCCAACAGAATATTATGAACTAAGTGATAACTGGCATCATATTGATTGTTTTAAAAAACGTAAAAATAGCCTTCTTTTTTATGGAACTGCTAAAACGTTTGTTATTTATTGAGATTTTCCGATTTTAATAACCTTACTAAAGAAGATCAAACTAAATTGAAAAAAAATTGGTTCATTAACTATTAATCGAAAACGTAAAGGTGATAATACATTAAGTTCAAGAGGTGACAATGGTGATGCACCAAAAGCTAAACAATCAAAACGAGAAAATAATAACGATTCAACACCTGAAGAAGAACAAAAAAAGCAAAAAGAAAGTTGACTTTATTTTATTTTTCATATTAAAATTTTAGTTTTGCTTTTCTTATTTTTTCTTACAGGAACAAAGTGATTTACTTTGGAAATATAAAGATTCTTTGAAAGAGCTACTTGAATATAATCAAAAAAAAAACTTGTTAGTGGAGAATTAAATGTAATATATCATTTATTTAAATATTTAACATTTATTTTACTTTGATATATTTAGTTAATTGACGCAGTTGCTGATTGTATGGCATTTGGTGCATTAGAACATTGTCCTGAATGTGGAGAATTTCTTATCTTTGAGTAAATATTTTTTATTTGAAAATTTCTTTTTCGTATTGCATAATTTTCGATATTTTAGTCGTTCATCTTATCGTTGTACAGATGATGTTACGGAATGGACGAAATGTACTTATTCAACAAGAAAACCATTTAATATACCTGCTGATATTAAAAATGTATATGATGCTTTGTAAATATTTCTTTTTCTCTTTTTAGTGAAATATATTTTTTTTCGTTTAATAAATCATACAATTATAGAAAACATGATCGAATTTAGCACAAGTAATTGAGAAACAAGTTACAATTGCTAAAACACCTGATGTTTCACAAGTTATTCAAGAGTAATTTTCATTTATCTTTGTCTTTATTAATTTATGTTGAATTACTTAGAATGGATTCTTAATATCAAACAAAAAATTTAATTCATTTAATGTTTATTAACCCTTTGGTCCCGGGCGTGGTATATATACCACTTCGAGTATTTCTCAAAATCCAAGGATGGTATTTATACCTAATCAATCAAAAGTAAGTGGGAATAGTCTGCAAGATTTATTATGCATAACGAATTGTTTCAGAGTTTATCATACTCTAAAACACTTTTGATAATGATTTTTGATTAAATAAACATCTATTATCCCTTATATAAAAAACTTGAATTTTTCAAAAAAGCCCCGACACAAAAGGGTTAAATCATAGTAAATCTTAAAAAATCGATCGTCTAATATTAGAACTTCAATATTATTATAAAGATAGATTTAGCTAACGAAAAAAGTTCGTGTAGAGAAATAGAAACTCGAAATAAGCCACTTTTCATATATATTTTTATAGTAAATATCAATAACTGTTTTACCAATTTTATGTACTATTTTTTTTTTGAATAATTTGGTACTCGTTCAACTTTTTATTGTTATATAACTGTAGTGAAGAAAATTTTAATTGCTTTAGACCAATATATGATTCAACATTACCACTGTCTGGTTTTTTATCAAGTTCTGTTACAACAATTCAAAAACAAATTGAACAATTAGGTGGAACATATTCATCGGAAATTGATGAAAGTGTTGGAATTATTATTAGTTCAAAAGGTAAGTTTCAAATTTGATTTATTTTTATTTTTTATTTGATATTTATTGTTTCGTTTTTTGTAATAAAAAGATGAAATTTAAAAAAAATAGTAAAAATAACATCAAGAAGCTGAAACATTAAATATTCACATTGTCTCAGAAGAATTTTTAAATGAAATAAAAAATGATCGTCCATCAGTAATAATGGAAAATTTCAATATGGGGAATTTTACCACATATTCGACAACAAACTAAAGCAGATGAACAAGCAAAAATTTATATTTGGAGTACAATCATTAACAACAGCATCAATTAAATTTGAGTGTAAAGTATTTTTTTAAATAAAACAAAAAAATATTAAAATATTTTATTTGTAAAGGACTTCAAGATACTTGTCATGTTCTTAAAGATATAGAAACTGGTAATATATATACTCCTGTTCTTGGTCTTGCTGAAATAACACGCGGTACTAATTTATTTTATAAAATGCAATTACTCGAATCTGATAATGGTTCGTCTTTCGAGCATGATAAGTTTTCTTTTTCATTTTATTTGAAAAACGATGCAATAAATGCATTTCATGCATATTTCTTAATAAAATAGGCAATCATTGGTTGGATAGAAAAAATCTTCAAAAATTATCAAATAAACATTATCCACTTGAAATTGATTATGGACAACATGGTGATAATGATAAAATGAAAAAATGACTTGAAAGTGCAAATTTAAATATTCATTCAAAATTACCAGTTCCAGTTCAAGAACTTGTTAAAATGATTTTTAATATTGAAAATATGCAAAAAGCACTAATATCATTTGATATTGATTTAACTAAAATGTGATTAGGAAAATTATCGAAAAATCAATTAGATAAAGCTTATACAGTTTTAACAAAATTACAAACTTTAATTACGAGTGGAGTTACAACATCAAAAACAGCTATTATTGATGCAAGTAATCGATTTTATACTTGTAAGTATTCAAATATAATATTGATAAATTTTTATGTTTTATCGTATACAAAAAAAGAAAACTTTTGTATAGCTATCAAAAATTCTATCGTAAGAAAATCACATCTAAGGCAAATATTATCTCAAAGTATTATCTTAGGAAATTGTTAGAATTAATTTTTGAATATATAGCGTTGTACGCAATCTCTGTCAAGAGAAAATATTGTCCTATATCGATATCAGTCTATTACAAGCAGAATTGTCATAATTTTCTAGAGGTAAAAGGGATTGAAACCCGATTGCTCGTATTATAGATGACTTACTACAGGATCGTTCGTTACTAATTCTGCTTGTCTGAGAGGCGCATTGTTTGCTTATTTTTATTTTACTTTTTCCCACCAGCTTAACGCAATCAGGAAGCTATAAAAACTGGGCAGAAATATTAAGAATTTTCGCCAAAAGTCGGAGGTTTCAGGAGAGAGATAGAGAACTCCACACCTCTCCGTAAGTGAGACCTGCAATCATAGCTTTTGTTTGTTTTTCTTAATTATTTAATTTGTTCAATGTATGAAAACGGTAAGATATAATGACTACTTACTAGTGAAAAAATGGTCCGTAAAACGTACTAACGATTTACTGTGAAATACAACGAAAATAATAGAATAGTTCGTCATTTTATAACGGTTTTAGATCACTTAAGATACTGTTTCCAGCGGTAAAAATCATCACCCTATCTGTCGTTAAATGTCGTATGATCGAATTTTGTATCAAATAAGAAAATTTTCATAAAAGATTAGTTTTGCTAATACCAACAAAATGAATGAATCTTACTATTAATTAAAGTGACAATCTAGATGATTATAAAAGCTTGTTATTTACCGAACCCTAAATTCCGGTTCAGTGTTTTATGTCATAATCGTTCGCTTCGATAATTTGTCATTTCGTTTGAATAGTGTCAAAAGATTTAAGTAGCTGTTCAAATATTTTTGAAAGTTTATAGTTTATCAAAGAAACATTCCAAAATTTGATCAGATTCGAAATCGGATATTTTTTTTTGCATCGTTGAAGCTTTATCAAAGTATTGATAGTTCTTTAACTTTTCAATGATTTTATTTTTATATAGTATCTAGATTTCTCATTGTCAAATTGACAGTGGTCTTTTTTTCTCGTCTAGTTTAATTTACTTTTATTAATTAATTAAAGTCGAGAAAGAATATCATGATTCAAGTGTGATCGACATCTAATAGAAATATAAACATATATTCAACACAATAAAGAAATGTTGTACATTATCTCTAAACACTTAATCATGTTATTTTGAATTTAATTTTAGTAATTCCACATAATTGTGATCTCGGTTCACTACCATTACTTGATAATATTGAATTAATAACATTTGAAACTAAAATGATTGATAATTTACGTGAAATAGAAATAGCTTACTCAATGTTAGATGAATCAAATAATACAATAGATAGCAGTGAACATTCAATAGATGTTCATTATAACAAATAAAAATATGTTCTTGAACCAGTTGATCATGATTCAGAAGAATTTAAACTTATTGAACAATACATGATAAATACTCATGATGCATATACATTAAAATTATGTGAATTATTTAAAACAAAACGTGAAGAAGAATTTGATCTTTTTAAGAAATTTCAAACAATTGATAATCATCAATTATTATGGCGTGGTTCACGAACAACTGATTTTGCTTGTATTCTTAGCCAACGTTTACGTATTTCACCACCTGAAGCACCTGTTGTAAGTTTTATTTATTTATCTTTTTTTTTTAATTAATATTCATGGAAAAAAATAATCATTTTTATTTTAGACTGGTTTTATGCTTGGTAAAGGTGTTTACTTTGCTGACATGTGTTCAAAAAGTGGTAATTTTTTTAAAAATTAAATTTATTTAAAAAAAACAAAAGATAACTTCAATTATAAATATTTGTGTTTTCTTTTTATTAAATAGAATATCATTATACAAATGATGGTGTACTTATTCCAATGGGTCATGGAATTCCATCAGGTGTTCGATAAATTCAATTATTATACAATGAATATATTGTCTATGATACTGAGCAAATTAATATGAAATATCTTTTACGTCTGGATTTTCAACATAAATTATTATTGAGGGATTATTAAGAGTTTATTTTTTGAACAAACTATGAAAAAAAATAATTTCTTTGTTGTTTGCTATTGACATTTCAAAACTACAATCAATCATTTTATATGCTTGTTTTCATCAATGATATGTACATAGTTTATTAAGAATAAATTTTGAATTAGATTTATTAGTAGGAAAAAAAAATATCTAGTTGATTCATGTGACATGAATCATTAGTAGAAAAATACAAAATATGTTTAATTGACTTTTCGGTTTACGATTCTATTTTTTCTTCTCTGTCAAAATAAAACTATTTTCAATGAAAATTAAAGCTTTTTGATAATTTTAAGAAATAATAATCTATATCGAAAGATTTTGATTATCTTTCTGACAAACGTTTTTCTCGAATCGGTCAAGTTTAGAATAAAATGTGAATATCAATAAATTATGTGAAGCATTGATTTTAAACTACACAGAACTGATCGTGAATTTTGTTTCTATTGCTCAAATAATTGTTTATCAATATTTCTGAATAATTCTTTGCCAAAAAAAGGTGAAAAAAGAAATTAAATTGGTCATTCTTAGTTTGAATTTATTTATTCAGTTCCAATTGTATAACTAGAAGTGGCAGTCGATAGAGGAATCGATAACAGATGGAAGTATCTTTATACTTTTTTTGATAAATTTTGTTTTAATTCCAAGAACTTTTGAAATGAATAAGAAAGAAATTAATAGTAGAAAATATTGTGATAAGAAATGGGTGTGGGTGTGGAGGACAGTGTCCGACTCGGGTCGGGCCATACATCTGAATATTTTTCAGCTGAAAGTTCTTTCAGAGTACGTGAAAAAGTTTAATACAACGAGAAACTATATATCATGTATTTTCTGTTCTATTTCATCATTTTGTCTTCATCGATATAACATAAACATTCGTAGCAAGTACATTGTATGTTAAATCGTAATACAGAGGACTTGGATTATATCCATCAAACAATAAGGGAAAATAAGAACAAATTTTATTTCATAAGGTTGCTGCCTTAACTACGCAATATCGAGGAAATGTAAAGAAAGAAAAAAGGTCGAAGACATATTCCTTGTCTCCAACTAGGTAATAAAGTAAAGAAAACCAAAGAATTGAAAAAATAAATTTCTCAAGAAAAGAGAAAAGAAAAGCAAAAAAATATAAAATACAACGTTGAAGAAAAAAACTAAAATCTAGCTGGCTAAAATTGATAAAAAATTAACTTTGTTCTTAAATGGGGTCAATTTGAATTAACTTTAAAAAATATGTTTGACTAGGTTCTGGTCGTGCTGTGTTACACAAGGAGAATTTGCCGCTAGGTCGGGTCGGGTCACGATGTGACCGGGTCGGGTCGGGTCGGGTCGGGTCATGATGTAACCGAATCGAGTCGGGTCAGAAAACAAAAAATTGATCTCAGGTCAGATCGGATCACAAAAAATTGACCCATGTCGGACACTGGTGGGGAAATGTCTTCTCTTCATTCACACACCAAAAACCACACCCTGTCATCATGAAATTTCACATTTATATGTTACTTCTTGGGGTGTGGGTGTGAGGTGAGAGTATTCAGACTGATGCTCACAGCCACACCCTCACACCCTCTATCAATTGAAACACGATGCAAACATCTTTCTCATTTATTAGTTCTGATTATCAACGCAGATATTATTTATTTTCACACTTCGAATCTAATTTTAGTACTTCTGATTGAAATTGCAACTGTGGTAGCTCGTACTTATTCTCATCCTCAAGACATAAAAATCAAATGTCAATTCTGTGCATTCATTATTGCAAATGCAGATGATTGTAATGTAGAAAATTCTAAGAAATTTGTCTTGTATGATAGAATACTATCAATTATAAATCTACTGAATTCGTCAAGCGAAGAGAATCAATTTTTAAATAAAAATATTCGGCAATCGAACCGTACAGATCGTCGACTGATCAAATATTTAAGATAAAAAATATATTTTTCAAGTAAAACAGTTACATTTTTGCAACCAAAAAGTTAGAAAATAATCATTGTTCAAACATCAATAAAAACTAAAAAGTAGAAAATTTGATCGAACTATTGACTTTCATGCAATTTCGTAAGCAAATACAAAGAACAGTTAATAGTCGATTAAAATTTCATCATGTCGGTCACAGTTCGTGATTTATCGACATCTTTGCCTGATTGTCATTGGTTTTATTGAGTAGTTTTTTTAGTTTCTTCACCGTAATAATATGCACGCCAAGTTGTTTCAATCTTTTCAATTGACTTCTGATCGTTGACAAGGTAACACCTCTACTCGCATCTTTAACAACGTATGTTATATAATTTAAATCAAAAGCATCAAGAGCTGTGAATGTCACACAATAATCTGTAGCCAATCCAACAATAAAAACTTGTGTAACATTTCTTTCTTTCAACATATTGTGTAATTCGGTATTTTTAGCTCCATAATTATCAGCAAATGCTGAATAACTGTCAATATCGGGATCAGTACCTTTTCTTATATGAATAACTCTACTTGACGATGAAATAACATCGAGATCCTTGTGTAATGCTGCATCTTCCGTTCCCTGTATGCAGTGTGCAGGCCATAGAACTTGGTCCATTTTGAATTTCGGACCGAAATACGTTACTTTATCGAACATTTTTATTGTTCGATTTTGATCACCTGTTAAATACTGTCTGCGAAAGTGAAGATTTTCGAAAAATGATATATGATTCCATGGATGCCAATCATGTGTATAAACAATAACATCAAATGGAATTGTATGAATTAAATTATTTATAATAGGAATAACTTCGGCGCCATCTTGACCAGCAGGACTTTTTGACAATGAGAGATTTCCATTTATAAAACAATTTTGAACATCAACAACAATCAATGCATTGATCGGTTGTACCGATTTTTTAACTAGAAAAGTATAAAACTAATATGACACCGTTTTAACTTCTCTTCCTACCTCTCGATGTCTCTACTAGCCTTGAAAAAATTATCGTCTGTATTATTAGAATAGTAACAAACCAAGATAAATATTGTCGATCCATGTCAAAAATAAAGTTTCGTTTACTCTAAAAGACTTGAAAATTTTGTGAACTATCAATGAATATCGAAAAAAAGCGAAACATCTCTCACCAAACCCATACTCTTGTGTAGATGCATCATATATCACTTTTTCTACACCGTCCGAAATTCAGTTTTAGATGATTTTATCAACAGCCGATTAATGTAAAATTGAAAAATTCTTTTATATGATGTTTTCTTCTATTGTTATCATCGTATATAGTTCTACTTTTTAGTTAGAATTTTTATTCATTTTCCCTGTTTTAGTTTTTTAATTTATGAAGAAAAATAAATATGCAACAGAGTTTCTCGAGAAAAATTGAACTAACATCGATTTTTACATATGAACATTCTATTTGTTTTTTTCGAAGCTATTTCATCTAATTATGTAAAACTGTATGTCGTGTCATTTTTTCGTTTCTGTTACATATTGTTTTCATGTAAAATAATGTAAGCACTTATTTTTTTAATAAAAATATTCATTAATTTAAATCAATAATAGGTCCTGAATATAACAATAAAAATGAAGTTACATGCATAAAATCGTACAAATTATCGATACAATGGTGGATAAAAATCGACTACGAAATCACGATCAAACTACAAAAATCCTCAACATACTCAAAAAACAATCGACGATTGTTAGATATAAAAAAAGTCAACAATATCTTACTGTATGTTGTTGTTTGACAATTTAATACTGATGAAAAGAAAAATTACTTCATATGTCGAACTAAAGAAAAACAAACATAAATACTGTTAAAAAAGTTAATTACTAATGTTAATATATTTTAGATCAATGAGCCGTATCGACCCTTTTCTTTTTCTCTTATTCTTTTCCTTTTCTTGGATCAATATTTATTTTATTATTCTCTTTTTCTTTCTTACTTTGATCATAAATCGTCTATGCGACGTTTTTATCTACCTGACAAACATTATATTTTTTTTCATGCTTCTTTAGTGAGAAGGTTTATATATATTATCTAGTTGTTATTTACATTAAAAAAAGTTAGAATATCTAACCTTGAACTATCAGAATATACATTCATTTCTAATTGGAATCTTTCTCCACTTATGGAAAAACAATATCCAATTTTTTTCCAGAGTATCATAACTAACAAGAATTAAATTTCTGAGACGAATTTGAGCCAAAATAATAATAATAATCTAGAGAATTAATAAAAAATTAGATGTCACTGATTTCTAAGAATTTCTACTTTCGGTTTTAGTTTGAAATCAAGTTCTTCAAAGAAAGTTAATCCTTTAAATAATGCTAATGGTTTTACATTTTGGAAATAATATTCAGATTTATTATCTATAACATTCAAAAATATAAATAAATCTGTAACATTCTCAAATATTTTTGAATTGTTCATCAATATAATATAATATCTTTTTATCTGATTTTAGCTTGAATTCATTTCATAAATGAGGTATAGTATAGAAGAGTGCCTGAGCTGAATAGAATTCACAATTTATATACTAATGACGTTGTTTATGCCATGAATCATTTTGAAATTAATGAAATTTAGTCAAAATAGCATCGTCATCATCTTTAATCCAAACAACAAATTTATAGTTGAAAATATCTAAATGATCTCGTGAAAATTCATTTAGATCTTACCAATGCTCACCATCAATTACATTCATTTAATATTCAATAGTCATTGTTAAAATTTTCAAATTCGGGGTCACACATCTTATTTCTTATATAGTGATAAGACGTCAGAGCCCGAAAACGAACCGAACTCGAACCGAACTAAGACGGTTCGGTTCGGTTCGAGTCGAACCGAACCGATCTTGATCCGGTTTTTAAAAATTTAGTCGAACCGAACCGAACCCAAACCGCTCTTTCAAAAACGTAGACGAACCGAACCGAACTCGAACCACTTCTTAAAAAGCGACGTTAAACTAAACTGACCTTAACTAATTTTTGAAAAGCGAATAAATATGGACGAGTACATAAGAAAAATGATTAACTGAGCTATGATCTTTTTTGTAAGATTGTGATGCTATATGGGATTATCAANATTCCGCATGTTTTCGTACTTGTTTGTCAAATGCAAAGCCCTGCGAATGTTAACATAATCAAAAAGAAACAGCAAAGAATGTATGAGAATTGCTGCAAAGCAAGAGTTAGGATGTAAAAATAAACATTGTTCTGTAGTTCATCTGTTCATAACATCATCGTTTGACTACACCGTTCCATAAAGTGCAATGTGTATTTGTAGTTTTGGTTAAATAACTTTCTACAATAGCATCAGCTAGTAAATATAGATCTGTATTCACTAAATATCCTTCCGATGATCCTGTAACTCTATCTAAATGGTATGTGGAGGGATTTATATTGATTTGTTCAAAAAATCTTGTCACATGACTAACATGTTCAGCAGCAATTAATGATTTATTTTGGTGTGTCGATTTTTTCGGTTCTATACACGCACCTTTGCGACATAATAGAGCAAGACAAATGTTTGGATCAGCAACTTCATGAAGAATGATGTATACTGTTGGATAATTTTTAACTACAGTTTCAAACGTAACAAGATGTATAACGCGTTTCGATGCTAATAACCATGGCATATCTTTTGGTTTACTCGGAAATAGTGATAATTTAATATTTTCATCGTGATCAAAATATTTACAAAATTTATTTTGATCAATAATTTCTCCTTTAACGCATAGACTTCTACCTGATTGTCGAATTATTTTAATTTCCAATTGTTCTTCAGCAAATCGATCTGTTTTATCAGTATATTTCGATGTAGTTATTCCAATTATTATTTATTTCGATATTTTATCGGATATTACATTTTGTTGACTATATATTTTAGGTGCCCATCGTTGTACATTCAATTCATTAATAATATCTTTCATTGTCACACCAATTCCATTCAGATACATAACAAGATGAACAAATAAATCACTACATTCAGAAACTTGATAATCTTGATGAATCGCTATCACTTCCTAAAATTCTTCCATTACTTTAGCAAGAGCTAATTATGGATTTCTTTGCATTATGCCTGTATAACTATCGTCGTTTATTTTCGATTTAATATATTCAGTCAATGTAGCTAAATTTGCTTTGATACTTGTTAGTATACAAAAAGAACTTATGATTACCTAAAATAAAAGAAAATAGTAACTTTTATAATCAACATAAGAAAAATTCTTACCTGTATGTCAAAATGGTTTTCTTTTGAATCAACCGTTATTAACATGGCATCTGAATCACAATCTAAACTAATTTAAATAATATGTTGAACATTACCAGATGTTTCACCTTTCATTATAACTCTTCCTAATTTTCTCCAATATCTATATAGTTTTCTATGTTGGCACATTTGTTCAATTGATTCACGATTCATATAACATAAACCTTTGACTGGTCCATTCACATCTTGAATGATACCTGATACAGTTCCATTATCATTAAAATTGATCATACTATTGAATATACTGCCAATGGTTAATTTATTTTTCCAAATTGCAGATCCAAGTTGTGGAGCAACACGATCAAATGACCATAGTTATTCTAAGCCATTCAATGTACTTATTCCACCAGCAATTTAAATTCTCTTAATATTTTGAGGAATTTGTATAAGAAGGTTTCGGATTTGTTGCCGAGGTATTCCTGATAAATGTCCTTCGCTTTGAAAAAATGTTATACTGCTAATATTGACATCGATCTGAATCAATTGATTGATTTTTGTAATTATATTCACATGAGTATTTGTTTGACGACCATGAATAAGTACTTCATTTAGTTCATTAATACTTATTTCGACAACTAGATGTTCTTTGGGTATTTTCGTAATCAATACATCATCGGTACTAGCCACAACACATCGACAAACACTTGATTTGAGCATATCTTCAACATCATTTAATGATCGTAAACCACATCCCGCATAAATATGATGTTTCTGCGCTAATTTTTTGATGATCTGTTTCACCAAAAGCACCTTTTAAATCAACAATTAATATGTCCAGAAAACCCTAAGTTTTTCCATAGCTTGCCAATATTCACCATCACTATGAACGTCATATACCTGTGAACTTTTAACTAAAACTGGTTGCCCATTAAACATATTCATTGTCACAAGAACAGATCTAGGATTTTTACCCCGTATCATCAGCCATAATTCTTGTAAATTAGTTGGAATGTTTAATTGTGTATTCATTAATAATTTTCCAATTTCATCTGTATAAAAATAAGAATTATAAGTTGAAAGTTCTGTTTGATGAAATTTATTTTTCATAAAATATTCAATAAGTATTCTATTAGAATCATTCCATTTCTGTAAGATTTGTTCACGTGATGCTGATCCACCTGCTCGCCATATGTCTTTATCAAATTTATTTTGATTACTATCTATGGTTGTTATTCGCATACAATCTTGATTGACTTCACTTCAAAACTTTTCACTATTTTTATCAATAAATTTACTCGAGAAAAATACGATTGAATAATCATAAACATTTTTAATGCAGATAATTTTGGTTGTTTAACATCAATTAAATGAGTTACGAGATCTTCAGTGATATTTTTATNTCAAATATACCTAAAACTATTTTTGAGCCTAGTCATCTATGGTTTTGTAGAGAATTTTAAGCGCTATCTTTTGATAATAATGAGAGCTTTACTTACAGTGATAATAGACAGGAAATCTTAAAAATACTGGGAGGCTCATTATTCCTGGGACACCCGATATTTACAAAATTTATTTCGATCGATAATTTCTACTTTAACGCATAGACTTCTACCTGATTGTCGAATTATTTTAATTCTTAATTGTTCTTTAGCAAATTGATCTGTTTTATCAGTATATTTCGGTGTAGCTATTCCAATCATAGTTTCTTTCGATTTTTTTATCGTATATTTCATTTTGTTTACTACATGTTTTAGGTGCATATCGTCGTGCATTCAGTTCATTCACAATATCTTCCATTGTTACACGAATTACGTTCAGATACGTAACAAGATGAACAAATAAATCACTACATTCAGAAGTTTGATAATCTTGATGACTCGCTATCACTTCCCAAAATTCTTCCATTACTTTAGCAAGAGCTAATTGTGGATTTCTTTTGTATTATGCCTGTATAACTATCGTCGTTTATTTTCGATTTAATATGTTCAGCCAATGTAGCTAAATTTGCCTTGATACTTGTTTGTATACAAAAACAACTATGATTACCTAAAACAAAAGAAAATAGTAACTTTTATAATCAACATAAGAAAAACTCTTACCTGTATGGCAAAATGTTTTGCTTTGAATCACCTGTTATTAGTGGTTAATTTATTTTTCCAAATTGCAGATCCAAGTTGTGGAACAACACAATCAAATGACCATAGATATTCTAAATCATCCAATGTACTTATTCCACCAGCAATTTAAATTCTCTTAATATTTTGAGAAATTTGTATAAGAAGGTTTCGGATTTGTTGCCGATGTATTCCTGATAAATATTCTTCACTTTGAACAAATGTTATACTGAAAATATTGACACCGATCTGAATCGGTTGATTGACTCTTGGAATTATATTCACATGACCATTTGTTTGACGACCATGAATAAGTACTTCATTTAGTTCATTAATACTTATTTCGACAACTAAACGTTCTTTGGGTATTTTCGTAATCAATACATTATCGGTGCTAGCCACCACACATCGACGAACACTTGATTTGAGCATATCTTCAACATCAGTGAATGATCATAAACCACCTCCGGTATAAATATGATGTTTCTACGCTAATTTTTTGATGATCTGTTTCACCAAAAGCACCGTTTAAATCAACAATTAATATGTCCAAAAAAATATCAAGTTTTTCCATAGCTTGCCAATAATCACCATCACTATGAACTTCATATACTTGTGAACTTTTAATTAAAGCTGGTTGCTCATTACAAATATTCATTGTCACAAGAACAGATCTAGGATTTTTACCCTGTATCATTAGCCGTAATTCTTATAAATTAGTTGGAATTCTTAATTATGTATTCGTTAATAATTTTCCAATTTCTTCTATATAAAAATAAGAATTATAAGTTAAAAGTTCTGTTTGATGAAATTTATTTTTCATAAAATATTCAATAAGTATTCTATTAAAATCATTCCATTTCTGTAAGATTTGTTCACGTGTTACTGATCCATCTGCTCGTCATATGTCTTTATCAAATTTATTTTGATTACTATCTATNAATTTCTTGAGATTTTTTATCGGATATTTCATTTTGTTTACTACATATTTTAGGTGCCCATCGTCGTGCATTCAATTCATTAAAAATATCTTCCATTGTTACACCAATTCCATTCAGATACATAACAAGATGAACAAATAAATCACTACATTCAGAAACTTGATAATCTTAATGACTCGCTATCACTTCCCAAAATTCTTCCGTTACTTTAGCAAGAGCTAATTGTGGATTTCTTTGCATTATGCCTGTATAACTATCATCGTTTATTTTCGATTTAATATGTTCAGTCAATGTAGCTAAATTTGCTTTGATACTTGCTTGTATACAAAAACAACTATGATTACCTAAAGCAAAAGAAAATAGTAACTTTTATAATCAACACAATAAAAACTCTTACCTGTATGGCAAAATGGTTTTTTTGAATCAACTGTTATTAACATGGCACCTGAATCACAATCTAAACTAATTTGAATAATATGTTGAACATCACCAGATGTTTCACCTTTCATTATAACTCTCCCTAATTTTCTCGCATATCTATATAGTTTTCTATGTTTACACGTTTGTTTAATTGATTCACGATTCATATAGCATAAACCTTTGACTGGTCCATTCACATCTTGAATGATACCTGATACAGTTCCATTATCATTAAAATTGATCATACTATTGAATATACTGCCAATGGTTAATTTAATTTTCCAAATTGCAGATCCAAGTTGTGGAACAACACGATCAAATGACTATAGTTATTCTAAATCATACAATGTACTTATTCCACCAGCAATTTAAATTCTCTCAATATTTTGAGGATTTTGTATAAAAAGGTTTCGGATTTGTTGCCGAGGTATTCCTGATAAATGTCCTTCGCTTTGAACAAATGTTATACTGATAATATTGACATCGATCTGAATCAATTGATTGATTTTTGTAATTATATTCACATGAGTATTTGTTTGACGACCATGAATAAGTACTTCATTTTGTTCATTAATACTTATTTCGACAACTAAACGTTCTTTGGGTATCTTCGTAATCAATACATCATCAGCACTAGCCACAACACATCGACAAACACTTGATTTGAGCATATCTTCAACATCAGTTAATGATCGTAAACCACATCCCGCATAAATATGATGTTCCTGCGCTAATTTTTTGATGATCTGTTTCACCAAAAGCACCGTTTAAATCAACAATTAATGTGTCCAGAAAAATCCTAAGTTTTTCCATAGCTTGCCCATATTCACCATCACTATGAACTTCATATACCTGTGAACTTTTAACTAAAACTGGTTGTCCATTAAACATATTCATTGTCAGAAGAACATATCTAGGATTTTTACCCCGTATCATCAGCCATCATTCTTGTAAATTAGTTGGAATGTTTAATTATGTATTCATTAATAATTTTCCAATTTCTTCTGTATAAAAACAAGAATTATAAGTTAAAAGTTCTGTTTGATGAAATTTATTTTTCATAAAATATTCAATAAGTATTCTATTAGAATTATTCCATTTCTGTAAGATTTGTTCACGTGATGCTGATCCACCTGCTCGCCATATGTCTTTATCAAATTTATTTTGATTACTGTCTATGGTTGTTATTCGCATACAATCTTGATTGACTTCACTTCAAAACTTTTCACTATTTTTATCAATAAATTTACTCGAGAAAAATACGATTGAATAATCATAAACATTTTTAATGCAGATAATTTTGGTTGTTTAACATCAATTAAATGAGTTACGAGATCTTCAGTGATATTTTTATCAACAAACTAAAATAGAAAAGATCGAATGCATTATTTGATTGTCTACAGACTTTCTTACTGGTATAGCACATAATTTATTAGCTAAGATTTTGTTAAAAAACTCTTCTTTACCGACAGCTTGTTCATATATATAATAATATGGATTTTCATTCAAGGATTTTCTTGTCTTTGGTGATATATGATTTGGATTTCTCCAATCCAATCTAACATAGGGACCACATAAATATTCTCCGTTGCTATTGGGTAAAACAATATTTTCATTTTCTAAAATATCATAATATGAATTTTTATCAGTTCNTTAATTATGTATTCGTTAATAATTTTCCAATTTCTTCTATATAAAAATAAGAATTATAAGTTAAAAGTTCTGTTTGATGAAATTTATTTTTCATAAAATATTCAATAAGTATTCTATTAAAATCATTCCATTTCTGTAAGATTTGTTCACGTGTTACTGATCCATCTGCTCGTCATATGTCTTTATCAAATTTATTTTGATTACTATCTATGGTTGTTATTCGCATACAATATTGATTGACTTCACTCCAAAACTTTTCACTATTTTTATCAATAAATTTACTCGAGAAAAATACAATTGAATAATCCTAAACATTTTTAGTGCAGATAATTTTGTTTGTTTAATATCAGTTAAATGAGTTACGAGATCTTCAGTGATATTTTTATCGTCAACCTAAAATAGAAAAGATCGAATGCATTATTTGATAGTCAACAGATTTTCTTACTGATATAGCATACTGTTTATTAGCTAAGATTTTGTTGAAAACCTCTTCTTTACCAACAGCTTGTTCATATATATAATAATATGGATTGTCATTCAAGTCGTTTAATAATAACTTCTATGGGACTGATTTCATCGATAAAATCGCTGACTATGATACCATTGGAATTAATCGAGCGATAAGAATGTTTCAAACCATTACGCTACATGATTTCCAAAATCAATTGGGAACCACATGCACGAATTGAACCTGAAATATTTCAACGAATACTCTTTGTAAATGAATTCACCGACTTTCTTCTTGTAGAATGTTACCTGTGACTTTTCAAAGGAATTTTTCGCAAGTTTTCATATTAATTTATACGCCGAGCCCATGCCTGTTTTTTTTGCAAACTGATCTTGCAGACAATTTTCGGTAAGATTTGAGTCTTATCTTTCCATATTTGTTTTTCCGTTGTGATATGTACAATTATTTTAAAAAACTCATAAGAAAATTGTATTCAAACCCTATATATCAAAATCAAATGTGTTCACGTTCTCTGTAAGTTAAATATATTAAGCAGAAAGTTTTATCTAAAATTGTTAATTTCTCCTGTGACTTGCATTGAATGTGAATAAATGGTGCATTTTAAAATAATAAATGCTACATTTTTTGTAAATGGATTACCACTAATATCTTTGTAGAATTTTTTCGACTCACCTTCTGTATAACAAGTGTAAGTATTATTTCTGTTATTGGTAATTCATATTCTCTAATTTGAAAAATTTTCTTTTGCTGATCGATTTCTAATGAATTATTGTTAATATATCGTCTTATGCATAATTTTCGTTTATCAACATTATTAAATTCTTGTGCATATTCAGGTAAATTTGTTATTTTGTCACTATCATAGATATTTATCATTTTATGAAGCTTATTTTCAAAATCATATTCTTGAATCTGATATTAATTAAGCATTTGAGTACCCATTTGGCGATAATATCGATAATAGTCTGATATTTTCTAACGGTATCAAGTACTTCATCATAAACTTGTTCCAATGTTCGTTGTGTTGTATCAACAAACAGTATACCAA